AAACCTGTTGCCGGTGGTTGGCCGTGGCTCGATCCAGCTCGGACCGGACCGCCGGTACAAAAAAAAATTGAACCTTGATCGAACAGCGGCCCTTGCAGTTTCTGTCCAACGAACCGGCCCTTATGTGGCCGGTTACGGGCCGGGCCGGTTTGGGACCGGTTCCCGGTCCGAGTCGCGGGCCGGTTCAGCCCGCGGCCATGTCTAGATCTACATTTGACATTGCTATGGCGAACTTATGGCTTTTCCCCCACAGACGGCGCCAAAATGGTGTGTTAAACGACCTCGACTGGACTTGAACGACCTGGATATGCTCTCGACTAGCTCGATAGACCTACAAAACGGCGTCGGGAGGTGTCCCGGCGTAGAGACTCCAACGATCAAGTCAGTACGTGGATTACCATACCTCGCCCTTTTAGACAGAGGTGTTACCTTATTTTCCAAGACTTTTCGGCGGGACCGCCCAGTTGCCTGAGTTACACGTTCGTACTACCCAAGTTCTCAAACTGACTTATTCTGTTAGGCCACAAGGTCCTATCCATGTGTGGTACTTATCCTTATAATATTCTTTCTTATCGCTGAAGTATTGTATTCACATCAGTTTACCTTATAAGACGGTCTAATCATAATCATACGACCACCTCAACTTCCTCTCGACTAGATTGCCTCGACCTTCTGCTTGCTAGTTGTGTCTCCTAGGTCGCGACGTCGACCTGCCCATCTCTAGATCTAGTTTCTATCAGGTTAACCAAGAGCACTAGCTTGACTTGCTAGTGAGTTTCCTTGTCTTGTGATGTCATCATCAACATTTGATTCTTCGACTTGTTGTGTCCGATTGACCTGTTGGTTCTTCTGGTTTAGTAAGACCGTTTCTCGGGTCGAGTCGACCTAGTGTGGTATCCCACATCACACCATGTAATATTAAAAATATCATTATACATAACTAAAAATAGTATCAAATATGGTTTTTATGGTTTTCACACCAAGACTAGTTTTTATTTAAACCAGCCGCTATATATATATGGTATAAAAGTATATACCTTCTTGTTAAGAAAAAACTTAGGCTATGTTTGGATTGAGAAATTTATCAAGGGATTTGATTCTATAGATTTCAATTTACAAATTGAAATCCCCATGCATGTTGGGACGATAATAGAAATTGGAAGGTTTCAAATTATTTTGATGTTGGGATGATAATAGAATTTATGGCATGATTGATATGATGGAATAGAATTTTGATAGGAATGGAATGAATTGAAGAATGGAATGATTATGAGAATGGAATGAAACATGTTTTGTCATTGATGCGTTTGGTATGCAGAAGGAATAAGACTAGAATGGAATGACATTATTATTTTTTATTATAAAAATAGATAAAAGCTTTTTTTAAAAAATAGTATACTTTTAATAAATTATATATAATGCTTTTTTAATAATATATAAAAATAAAATAATATATTTTTAATAATATATTTTGAATAATATATTAAAATAGAATAATATATTGTTTAATAATATAAAAATAATATATTTCTAATAATATTCAAAAATAAATAATATATTTTTAAATTATATATAAAAAATAAAATATTCTTAAAAGTAATATATTTTTGATATATAAAAAATAATATATTTTTAATAATATTTAAAAATAAAAAGTAACATATATTTAATAATATATATTTTATTTTTTAATTAAACAGTAAATAAAAGTAAGTTTTTAATCTTTTATGTGAATTTAATTTTTTAAAATAATATATTTTTAATAATATTTAAAAATAAAGTAATATATTTTTAATAATATATATTTTTAATATTTTTCAATAATATATTTTTAATATTTTTTTAAAAGTAATATATTTTTAACATATAAAAAAATAATATATTTTTAATAATATATAAAAATAAAATAATATATTTTTAAATTATATATAAATACTTTTTTTAGTTTTATTTTTATAAAAGTATTTAATATATCTAATTAAAAAATAAATAAAAGTAAGTTTTCAAATTTTTTATTTGAACTTTTGTTTAAAATAATTTTATTTAATATATTTTAATCATGATTTATGATATATATTATATATTTATTTTTTATTATTATTTGTTAATTTTATTTTTTGAAAAATTGATTCCTACACACATGGGAATGAGAAAACCCTTCATTTACTATAGAATGGCTAATCCCATGGAGATGGGTTTTGCCATTCCCATTGGAATGGTCATTCCTTCCCAAAAAATATACCAATCATGGGATAAAGAATGAGTAAGGGAATGATCATTCCATTCTTATGTCATTCCAGCATACCAATCATGCCATTAGTCATTATTTTGAAGAGTTTTAAATGATTTCTGAAACCTAGTAATTGGAAATCCACTGTTGACGACCATATTGTCCGTTAATGTGACTCTTCATTTAGATTCATACCACCACCACCATGAGTCAACATATCAGTACGAGCTAGATAATTGATTTATAATCTTTTTCACAAATATTCTCAGAAATTTGAAAAGTGAAAAATTTATATTTCAAAAAATTTAAAATCAAGAGATTTTAAATCCATCCAAACAAATGTAGCCTTAATTAAAAGAGTACATATGATGTATGTTTTATGTTCCACTACACAAATAAATGTCAAATATATGATATAATCGTCATATCATTTTAATGAATAGTATTACTATGAATATCTTGTTACCGTTTAACTACCTCCTGCAATTTCCTTTTGGTACAATACGAGTTGCAACATCGCTAACTCAAAATTTTTTTTGCCCCTTTTAACCTGCCAGGTGAAATGTGAAATGAAAAATCTCATAATTTGCCTTTTCAGGCCCAATTTATTTATTTAATTTTTTTTTTTTCGGTTCAATTCTTTGTCATTTGAATCTGGCTTGACTAATATATTTTCACCTGATTGTTGGAGCACATCTGCACACACTAGGAGAAGTCTAATTGGGTCCCTCAAGCAACAAATTTGGATAGGATTAAATTAATAATTAATATGGATTAAGGATCACACATGAAAATATGTATGCGGAGAAGATGGGGACAGGCCAGGATCTTGGTAACAATTATGGCTAAGTTCAAGGATCCAACTTTTAGTGTCTATCCAGCTTTACGTTTAGTGGAGGTAGTTAATCTGTCAATTGAGATATATTCACGTTATATCATAATTATGATCGTTCTTTAGTGTCCATGCTTAATTATTTGGAATTATTTAATCAATTGCTACCGACATGTTATTCCTATCTGAATCACCTTTGCAATGAAATCCATGTTTCATTATAATCATTCTTTAATTATTTATGTACTATTAATTTATTTACTAATTTCTTCTGAAGGGAAACCCGAGACCATAATTGCCCTCAGGGTCGGCCCTGACATTTTTGGGGCCATGGAGAAAATTATATAAGGGGTCATTTCTTTAACACATACATTTAATTTAATTAAAAAGAAAATTAATATTAGACAAACTCATAAAAAAAGAGCATTAGAATCAAACAATGAAACAATAAAACACTAAAAATTATAAAATATAATCAAGAAATATAACCTGATTTATTTCATGGATAATCTTCAAATCCAAAAAACCCTAATAATTGTAGTAGGTCTCTCGGTTGGGTGTTTCACTTTCGCGAATAAATAGAATAATCATCTGAAGACTGAAAAGAAAGGCTTAATCGTCGAAGCCGTTGCTCCAAATTTTTTATCCGCTACACTCAAAATTTTTTTCGCCCGTTAAAAAGTAGAACTTTGAAATAGATGTAAGAAAAAAAGAAAAGCAAAGCAGGGTGCTATAAAGATGGGGAGGAGTATAGTGCAGAATGGTGTTTACGAGACAGAAATAATATTACTCTCCCTTTTCAAGTATTCTTGTCGTCATCTTAGCCTACCATCTTTATTTTTTTTTTGTTTTCTTTCGTTACACCTTTATCTGAGCGTGGGAAGTTGTGTGAAAATGTGTTGGATGAGGAATATTGATGGAAAAAATTATTTTGATATTCTATCCACTTGTCTTTCCCGTTGCTTCCACTTCCAAAAGAAAAAGTGACTTTGATTTTTTTTTATTGCTTATGATTATTTTCTTATATGTGTTTGGGCTTGGGCCAATAAAAGCTAATTTTTTTTTGGGTTTTTTAATTGGTAGAAAAATTCACTAACAAAAATCCATACACATATATATAATGTAGATATAAATTTGGGGCCCCAAATATTTGGGGGCCCATGGCCAATGCCCACTTTGACATTAGTCAGGG